CCGTTTCATACATGTGTGCTAATATGCTTTTCCCCAGGTGTTATTAAAACAAACATCATATTTTTCTTTTTCTTTTTCTAGATTTGTTGACCTACAGAATGTTTCGATATCCATATTTTTGTAGACTCAATAAATTTGTTTCATGCTGCTTGGAACCTGGCATCCTCAATTTAGGTACCTGGCCTAAAAATATACATATTACAGCAGAAAATTTTGATGAATATGAAGTCCGTGAGCAATCATGCAAAACTGGAGCTCAGAAGTTATGCCTAAATCAAGATGAAGATCATAAGGCTGTAGCTCAATTACATATTCCAGTAATGGTGAAGGAAGTTGTTCGTTGTTTAGCACCACTCAAAGGACAGGTGAGTTGATTAGTTGTTTTTGTTGACTTTTTAAAAAATTAAGATATAAGTCACATGCCACTCTTCACCATTTTAAAGTCTACAATTTATTGGTAATGTATTCACAAGGCTTTGCAACCATTGTTGTTGTTAAGTACCGTGGAGTCGGTTCCGACTCATAGTGAACCGGGCACAGGGTTTCCGAGGCTATAAATCTTTACAGGAGCAGAACACCTCATCTTTCTTCCGCGGAACAGCTGGTAGTTTTGAACTGCTGACCTTGTGGTTCGCAGCCCGATTCATAACCACTACGCTCCCAGAGCACTGTTTAATTCAACTTATATCATATTCAGTATGTGACCTGTGTGTATGACTTATTTTACTTAGCATCATGTTTTCACAGTTCATATTTTTTTAATGGCCAACTAATATTTCACTGTTTGGATGTACCACAGTGTGTTTATCTGTTTATCCACTGATGGACATTTCTTTTTTTGTACTTTTGGGCTAATTTGGAAAAGGCTGCTGTGAACATTCGTGTGCATGTTTTGTGCGGACATGTTTTCGATTCTTTTGGATATACAGTTAGGAAAAGAACTTCTGGCTCATAGAGTAACTTGGTGTGGTGCTCTAGGATAAGCACTGGACTCGCTAATCACAACAAGCTTGGCGGTTCAAACCCACAGAACTGCTGTGAGTCAGAACCCCCCGGATGGCATTTAATAACAACAACATAGTGTTCACCTTGTTTAGGAACTGTCAAACTGGTTTCTAGAATTGATTAGTTTGGTTAAACAACTGTTTTAAGAGAAGAATATAGTACACTGGTGGAATGGTTAAAGTTAGAAAACAATGCAAATGTGGTTTCTAGAGAATTTTAGAATCTTCAGAAACAACTGGAGACAAAGACATGGTTCTGCGTTACTGTTCTCTGTATTCTTAGCCTTAGATCCTCTACTACCCTATCCTCATAATGTTGTTGGAGAGGTACAATAAGATCTTAGATGTGAGTATGTATTTGAATCAATAGAGATCATCACAAACATGTTAGGTAGTGCAAAACTCCTGGGCTTTTTATGCTATATAATTTTGGTATTTTAAGTCCATTTACCAAAACCAAAATGTACCAGCAGTGATGAAGATGGCACAGAAAAGGGCTACATTTCATTCTGTTCCACATAATGTCACCTTTAGTAGAAGGAGTGTTTGAATGCTTTCTACTAAAAGCTGTGATAGAAAAGTGGTACACTTACTCTGTCAAAGATGGAAAACTCGCAGTCAATATGAGTACTGGTTCTGATAGATTTTACTGCATTTAAAATTTCCTTCTCTGACAGAGTCATACCTTGTACAAGTTTTGCTATATTTGTAAATATACATGTACACTATGTATAAAAAATCTGGACTGTGAACCACAAGGCCTGCGCTGTTTGAACCCATCAATTGCTCTGAAAATGTAAAGCTTCAGAACCCCTATACAGGGTCACTATGAGTCAAAACCGGCTCCATGACACTAAACAACAACATGTGCATAATATATATAATAGTGGGGAGGGGCAGTTAATAAAAAAAAGTGGAATTAAACTCAATGGCTTGAGTTTGAATTCTGAAACTAGAAATCAAAGTACATTGTATCAATTCCCTGAACCCTAGTTGTTGTTGTGAAGTGCCGTCAAGTTGGTTCTGACCCATAGCGACCCTGTATAGGGTTTCCTAGGAGCAGCTGGTGAGCTTGAACTGCCAACCTTGCAGTTCAAATTGCTTTGCATTCTGGCGCATTAACCCATAGCACCACACCAGGACTCCTGAACTCTAGTAACAAGAGAATATATTTAGTCTGAAATAGCCCATGAAGTAGAAAAACATACAAACCGTACAAACCCAAATCTTCTAGTAAATCAACATTGAATCTGCCTTTTTTCTCTAAAACCAAGTGGAATAAAATTAGATCACTCTACAACTTGACCTACACTGTTTCTTTGTGTTCAAGTCCCTTAGAAAAGTAATGCTGGTGTTTTGTTTTGTTACTTTTTATATTTCTGTTGTTCTGAATTGAGTTGGGTTTCCCACTAACTTTTTATAGAAAGTTGAATGTGATCAATGTTATTTCTGAAAACTTTTATGTGAGGCACCCGTAGAGTCAGTGTTATCGCCTACCTTTCTCTTGGCAAGCAGACAGCTTATTCACCGTTCCTTTAATCTTCAAGTAATAAAGAACTAGTGACAGGTCTTGGACAGGAAAGATCTTCTTTTCATCCAAAAAACATTATTTGCTTCTTTTCTTCTTAAGCATTTTCCCCAAAATCTTTTTCCTTTGCAACCTATGAGTCATAACTACTTGTATCAATCATCTATTTAATTACTGTTTTGCACATTACCTTCAATAGTGAATTTACAAATGACAACTCTGATTTTAACAGGATCTTTAAAAATATCTAGACATAGTTTTGAGTGATGATTGTGGGGCATTTTTTTAGTTATTTTTTTGTTCAATATTTAAAAAATGCTTACCTAAGAAAAATTTTTGAGTTTTTGGAATATCTTCACCATAGCAAAATTAATCTGATTTTAAAAATTGAACATAGCATAGAACCAATTTCAGTAGGTATCCAACTAAAAGATAAAAAAAGGGGAGTCCTGGTTTGGTGCCGTAGGATAAGCACTGTACTGCTAACCACAAGGTTGGTGGTTTAAATCCACCAGCTGCTCCAGCCACTCAGAAACCCTGTACAAGGTCGCTGTGAGTCATTATCGACTCCAAGGCGCTTAACAACAATACATAGGGTGTTGTTGAGACTCTGCAGATTTTTGGTAAACTTGTTTAACATCTTGTTCTACTACTTTTGATGTCATTTCTCAAGTGTACCAAGAAATATCGGCATCTATGCATAGCACTAAGTATCTGACTGTAGTCAAGAATGGGTAATGGGTCATAATAGTCATGTTCAGATTTTGGCACTTTATGGCATACCTAGCAATCAACTCCAATGAGTCTTTTAATATTTGTTAATTCCAATATACATATTTTCTTTGTGTATTTTTGGATTCTAGTTTTTGCTAATCAAAGGTTTCTTTAACCTATGAATGATAACTTTTATTGAATTACAGATTGTCGGCATAAGTACCATTTATTGTTGTGTTAAGTGTTGTCAAGTTGGCTTCAACTAATAGTGACACACAAGGTTTACAAGACTTAAAATCTTTGCAAAAGCAGAAAGCCTCATCTTTCTTCCACCGAGCGACCCACAATCTTGTGGTTTGCACTGCAGCGCTTGTTATGTGGAGCCACTATTCCATACGGTAAGGTAGTACTATTCAGTTTTGAAAACTACTTCTTTTATAGTCATTTCATGAAGTCCATAGGCAGAATCATTTAAAACACAAAAAAATATTTAGTTGGAATTTCAACATGTGCCATAATATCTTTTTAAGGACCACTCCTAGTATAGTAAGGAGCTCTGGTAGCGTAGTGGTTACGAATTGGGCTGCGAACCGCAAGGTCAGCAGTTCAAAACTACCAGCTGTTCCGCGGGAGAAAGATAGGGCTTTCTGCTCCCATAAAGATTTATAGCCTCGGAAACCCTGTACAGGGTCGCTATGAGTCGGAACTGACTCCACGGCACATAACAACAACAACAACAACAACCTAGTGTAGTGGATTACAAGATGGTCAGCTAATCTCAATGTCAGTAGTTTGAATCTAGCAGTCTCTCCATGGGTGAAAAATGAAACTTCCTGTTCTTGTAAAGATTTGTAGCCTTGGAAACCCTGTTAGGGTTGCTGTGAGTTGGAACCAACTCAGTGGCACACCACCACCTGAGGTTATTTGAGGCATAAAAATAGAAGTTAAGTAATTATGCCATTAAAATACAGATCTGGAATAACAAGGGAAAGAAAAGAAAAAGAAAACAGTTTCTTATATCTAGATAATAGATTATTAAGTATCAGCAATATTTTCTTATAAAACTAATAATAAATGTTGTGGTATACTTAATCCTGTATAGTTAGTTTTGGTTCCATTCTGCATTAGTAGTCATCTGAAAGCTTTGTCAACTTCTACATAGGAGTTTTTGAAATCTTGATTTAGTCCAATGGTTTCCACATTTAAAATATTATAGGCCTCTTCACAAGTCTAACATAGTCCATTTTTGTTGAATTTTTTGCCTATGCAAAGTAAAACTTAGCTGCATATGTTGTTGTTGTTAAGTGTTGGTGAGCTGATTTAGACTCATAATGACCCTGTATAGAGTTTCTGACAAATGGCTAGTTTAAAATGGTTATGGTTAATTTGTAATAAAAATGCTTCAGAAAAGTGAAAGTCTTGTTAGAAGTTAACTCTAAAAGTAATATAAAACTGAAGAAAATGAATTAAAAGATGAAATTATTTGTAAGCTTAATGATTAACCTTATTTTAAAAGAACTTCAGCTATAACACATAATAATCTTAGATATAATATTAGGACATACTAAAATAAGATTATCAAGTCCTTAATTTGAATATGAATAAAAATTCCATGGTTGAACAATGTGAATTCCTCAGTTTAAAGTACTGACTTGATGATGCTAGACTTAAGGTTGTAAGTTAGCCGTTTACATAATGACGACATATATTATTGAATTGTTGTTTAATATTGGATGACATAATGGGCTTGTAAACTTTTAGCCATAAGAAAATTTGACTTTTCCTTATTTGACATGTTTACCAACTCGATAGCACCTAACAATAGCAAAATGTAGTTCATAATATATTTAATATATTGAATAAGCACTTTTTTTTATTTAGAATTTTTCTCCTTATAAAACAGTTTTTTGTTGTTGTTGTTGTTCTTCATCTTTCTGCAAAGTTTCACAGTTGTAAGGAGTTTATCACAGGTCACTGAGAAATTGTACCTGAGTTATTTAACTTTATATCTCAAGGGAAACAACAACAAAAAACCGTAGCTTGTTTTATTTTTTTTTGTAGCCATGCAATTTGGTTTTGCCTCTAGAATTTATTCTAAGTACCCTTGCCTTCCAGACAG